AAAACCTTTAAAATACCTTGTAAATTTTTGGCGGGAAAAACTTTCCCGCCAAAAATTTAACGCCAAAAAAATTGCGGAATCACTTTTCCCGCAAAAAAAATTTTTTGGCGGGAAAAAGTTTTACGGGAAAAATTTACAAGGTATTTTAAAGGTTTTACAAGTTTTTACAAGAGTTTTGGCGGGAAAAATTGCGGGATCACTTTTCCCGCCAAAAAATATTTTGTATTTTGTGGACCTAATTTTGTTATATTTCCTTATATATTTGTGATATCTTTTATTAAAAGAAGGGTAATTTAGTCATTTTGTACATAAAAAGGGGTATTTTTAAAAATGGACAGCCAAAGGGGGCATTTTTGAAAAGGGGTATTAAAAAAGGGGCATTTTTGTGAGTCTCCCAATAATAAAATATAAGTATCCGGAAATACTTATATAATTTACTATTTCTATACATCCTTTGTACATTTGGACTTGATATTTAGAGAAGAAGGGGTTCGTCAGAAAAGTCCGATCTCAGTAGAGAAAGTTTGCTTCGCCGATAAAACCATCGTAGGAGAGGTTTTTTTTCGTCGAATTAAAAAATAAATAAAAAGTTTCAAACTTCCCGATCACAGAGAACTTAATTTAGTCGCAAAGATATTGGATCACGAGTTTGACCTAGAATCTAAAATCAAAGAAGAATTCAATTGAGAGAGATCTTTATAATTAATTAGATGATCTTTGTTCGCAACAACTCTGTTACTCAACGAACACAGACAACGACAGATTAAACAAACATGATTAATAAGTTCAATTATGATTCGTAAAGCCCTACAACTCAACTAACGCAAGTTGCAACATGATACTCATCTAGGCTAGTGAAGCGAGTTTACAACACTTATGATGTGTAAAACGCTTAGAATCAACCACAAGTTAGCTACTTAAGCAATATGCATTAAAAAGAATAACTAAGAGAAACAAATCACAGATATCACATAAATCTTTTGTCCAAAAAAAAGATGAACAAATCACAGATCTAACAGATCTAGATAAACGATCGTATGAATCTCCTTCGAAACCTTTTTGCACAACACATTTCAAATAAAAACCGAAAAATAAAATATAAAATATCTAGAAATACTTATATAATTTACTTTTTCTATACATGCTTTGTACATTTGGACAGAGATATTTGGAGAATTTAATTTTTCCTAATATATTTGCTTATAGTTTTATATAAATAAATTGAGATAGTGGATTCCAAATTTCTTATAAATGTTCATGGTGAGTTTTTTTTTTTTTTTTTTTTTTTTTGGTGATAGAGCATTAAGCTACAAAAACTTTTTTTTCAAGGTTGTTCACTTCTTCGGTTGTATATTATCAGCTGCGTTGTTTGCTCACTACTTTTTTTTAAGATGTTATTTAATTTGAAGTCATATGTGTATATATTGTGGATGCAAAAATCCACACAAGAATTTGTATAAGATTGAAAAGAGAATTAAGGGCTAGATTCTCTATATGAGCCTAAGATTCTCTATAAGGGCTTAGATTCTCTATATACGAGACTTGAATCGACCAACTGGACACTGTTCATAGGAAGAATAATACAAAGAGATTTCAGAAGAGCTTGGAATGATAATTGTACTCATGGATCAAGCTACTTAGTATTCGTTTAGAAATCAAGCTTATACGTAGTTTCATTATTATCATCTAGAATGAGATGTTCGTTGGTGAATGTATGTATAACAAACTCATATAGAGTGTAAATGGACAGACTTTAAATGATGTGTTAGAGCATTTCCAATTCATCTCTATTTTCATCTCTAAAATAAAGTTTGGAGTAAGATTTTCTCGAACCCATCTCTATTTCCAACTCCAAAATAAAGATTTCCATTTTTTTTTTTCATATTTGAAGATTTCTATTTTGAATTTATACTAAAATTTGGAGACTTCAATTTTTAACTCCAAAATTGAGTATAATTGGAACAAAACCCAATTCTAAAATGGTGATACTCTATTTTGGAGAAAAAAAAAATACAAAAATACGTTTCTCGTGTGGACTCCTCTTTTATATTGATTTCGATCTCTGTAAAATGTCCGTAACTTGCTTCACAAGCCACATAGTCTCCGCTAAGGAGTGTTCATGGGCTGAACGTAGAAGATTTCAGACGTGGGCCATAATCAAATTGTTAGTCGTCTAGGAATCTTTGATTTTTGAATGGGCCGGATTGTGCTAAAAATCCTGCTCCAAGTCTCCAACATGTATTAACATATATAATCAATTTATAATTTTTTATATATTAGAACAATATAAGAAAAAGACTTGTTCAAATTTTATGTGGGTAATTTCAATATAGTTATAGTCATTTTTTAGTTAAAAATTGACTGAAATTCGTTGCAACTAAAATAATATTAGATATATTTAAAAGATACTACCATTTGATAAACTAGAAGCATTCTAAACTTAATATTTAAATATACATAAATACATATCAACAATAGAACAACCTATATTTACAAGCTTATAGAGTTATCTATACTATTAATTGGGAATCACTAGATATTAAACAACCTTATGAATGATAAAATATTACATAAGATGCCATTGATTTTTAGTGTTTTCAAATAAATTCATTAAAGGTACAATAGTAATCACAAAATTAATATATTTAAATAAAAAATAAAATTCTTTTACATAATTATTAATTTCCAAAAAAATAAACTAACTTTCTCTCTCTTATTAATTATGGACGAAAATTTGAAATTAATTTTTAAAAAATTGTTTACCAATGATAATTGAAAAACTAAGATTTGATATCCAACTAAGATTTTATCTAAACCAACAATAATAGATTATTCTATATCAAAAATAAAAATAAAAATAATATCATTTTAATTCAAAATTAAAAACACTATCTTTTAAAAAATTTATCAATGGATTAAGATTGAATTTGAAATTTCGTAAGAAAATTAAATACAAATATTTTAAGATTCAGTTTTGTGATAATATTTTCACAAATTTTGAAATATAAAACGAAATTTTATTTCACAATTTCTAAAAACGATATTAGATATTAACAAATATTTATATTTACTATGAAATAAACTCAAATAATAATAAATTTAAAGTAATTATAATTATGGCCTTCGTTTAGAACAAGTTTCAGAAATATCTAAACAATTGATTATACATATTAATTTCAAAATATTTTGCGTTTTATTTTTTCTTTTTCAACCGGATATTCCTTAAATAAATCCCTAATATATTGCACACAGTTTTGGAAATAATGTAAACTAATTATATATTTTTCATTCAAATAAAATTATGCAGCAATAGCATATCCCTTTTTAAGATGTATCTCAAATTTTTATTTTTAGTCCAAAATCAAATCAATTATGATTAAACAATGAAAAGAAGAATATGCAAAATTTAGCTAGGGAAAGAAAAACTAATAAATTTGTTAAGATATATTTGTAACTTTAACAGCATACATATTAATCAGCAAAACTCACAATATGTATTGTATGGTGTTTAACGGTAAGCAAACAAGAATTTGGAACATGATTTTAATGGAACAAAATGAGAATAGGAATTACGAGACGAGATGGGAGGGGAACATAAATTAAAAATCAAATTAAATACCCCACTGGCATGAGTTCGGGTTATGAGCACTATATAAAATAAATTTGTTTACACACAACCTTGTACGTACATTTTCAGTTACACATATTCTATTTATGACGGATACGAGACCGTCATATTTTTATTTCACGTATATGAGACGGGTTATGGGACAAAGAATTTATGACAAATACAGGACGAGATAGGTTCCCTGTTCCAAAATAGTTACACCTAGCTAATATACATGAAATAACCAAACTAAAACTAAATCTATATCCTATTTAACGCATGTAATCAAAATTTTAGAAATATTTTGATTAGTTTAGAAAATAAAAACGTAACATCATTTAACTTTTGCAACTAAATTATAACTTAATTTTATCTTAAATATAATTTCGCACGTACGTGTAGGTCCGGATCTTAAAATATAACTACGTACTAACGCAACTGAATTTCGTTCATTACTCTAACTTTACAATATTTATACTATTATGAAGTTCACTAATACAACAAAATATTTTATATTCTTAAAATCTATATAACAATTTTATAATAATATCTCTGCACGTACGTGTAGAACCAGACCTAATACACTAAAATATATATCATAGAAACAACAAATAATCTATATTAAATTAAAATTTGTTAGAAATTTTTTTAAAATATAAAATCCCGCACGTACGTGCGGGTCAGGATCTAGTAGTTATATACAACAACACATATTTCTTTTTTTTTTTTCTTTTTTTTTGTAAACCACAACAACACATATTTCTAATAATCACTAACAACATATATTCCTAATAAAGACTGAAAATATATGGAGATACTTATAGAATTTACTTTTTCTTTACATGCTTTGGACATTTAGACTTGATATATAAAGAATTTGAATTTTCCTAATATTATTTCCTTATAGTTTTATATGTATTGCAAATTTCTCATATTCTGTTTTTGGTGAGTTTGTTTTTTTTTTGCTAGTTATTGACTATTTAGCTACAAAACCTCTCTTTTTTTCACCGTGTAGAATGTGGATCTCACGCGGTTTTAAAGACAGCAAGAAGTTCAAATGTTTAAAACTATAAACGACACGAAGTTCTGTTCTCCTTTTCTGAGTTAGTGTTCACACGTGGGAAACAACTCCAAAAGCGAACCATGCGCGCTGTTTTTTTGGTTGCTAGCCGTTATACCAACTGTTCCTTACTCATACACCAAATATTAATTTTTAAAACATTCCTTTTTTCTGCCAACAATTAATAAAACAAAATTTTCTTCTCTCTCTTTTTTTTTTCTTTTTCTTTTTCAATTTGCCTTTTTTAAATAATTTAATATATATACCCATTCACAGTATAATAAAGTTTGAGAAGATGTTAAAAAAAAAAAAAGTCATCTCTGTCAAAGATTTTTCTTGATTCTTTCTTTTTTCCTCTATTGAATTTTTTTTTTTCTTTCTCATTCGTTGTTTCCTTTCAGGCAAAGAGAGGAAACAACGTTTCTTCTTCTCAGATTCTTTACCTTCTTAAGGCAAAAACCCAAAAGAGAAAAGATCAAAATCTCGCATTCAGATTTTAGGGTTTCTGACAAATTCTTCGGCGAAATTCAAGATCTAAACTTCGGCAATGTCGACGATTTCGCCGTCATTGGCCGTAATTTCGTTTCTTTTTCTGACTCTTCTGAATCTATCTTTGGTTATCGCTGATCCTTCGACGGAGATTGTTAAAGGAGGAGAGATTAGGTTACCTTCGGAGAAGATCGACGGTGAAAAAAACAGAGGCGAATTTTGTGAAGGAATTGCTAAACCGGCTTCGTGTCCGGTTCAGTGTTTCAGGCCTGATCCGGTTTGCGGTGAAGACAGCGTTACTTACTGGTGCGGTTGTGCAGATGCTTTGTGCCATGGTGTTCGTGTTGTTAAACAAGGAGCTTGTGATGTTGGTAATGGCGTTGGTTTGTCTGTTCCTGGACAAGCTCTGCTTTTGATACACATTGTCTGGATGATGCTTCTTGGGTTTTCTATTCTCTTTGGCCTCTTTTGATTTGGTTCGAGTCTTTTGTGAATCAAACAACATATAGAGATTGTTTAGGTTTTCTGATTGCGACTGATGAATCTTTTTGTTTATAATCTTTTTCTTTATTGCTCTGTATTTGAAAAATTACATTAAAACTATGAGGAAGTATCATTATTTGTTTTGTTTCGTACAAAAGAAGCTTTTTTGAATCTTGCTTTCTCCATCTCTTTCCCAAGATAATCGAGGATTGTATCGGTTACGTGGTTAGGTAAACAACCTGCATCTAGCATCGCTTTCAAGTACTTGTATGCTTCTTTCAATTTCCCTGCTTTACTGTTCACTTCGATCATCGTGTTGTAACTCACAACGTCCGGGTTTATTCCGTTGCTCTTCATGTGATCAAACAGTTGGGTTGCTGCATCTAATCGGTTTGCTTTCCCAATCGCGTTGATCAATGTGTTGTACATTACAATGTCTAGATATCCTCCTTGCTTTGTGAGCCTGTCGAGTACCGCGCCGGCTAAGTCAGCTCTTCCCATTTTTCCTAATCCTTGGATTATTACATTGTATGTTGCTATGTCTGCTGCGCAAAAATTCTCACCCATTTGGTCAAGCACTCCACGGACGGTTTTGAAGTAACCCTTCTTGACAAACGAGCTCATCATGGAGTTGTAGGTGTAGCTCGTGAGATCGGTCACACCCATTCCATTGAATATCTCAAACAATTTGCAGGCTAAGCTGAGATCCCCTTTGGACAGATAGATAGATAGAAAAGTGTTCATCATGTCAACGTCGAAAGAATCTGGCTTTGCTTCAACTCTTTGACCTCTGGCCAAACCAAACAAGGGCTTAGGTCGATTGCTCTGATGGGCTAATTGGTCCATATATGGAGATGATGACCAAGGGTCATCTTCCATAGGTGGGACTTCCTCAGCCCTAGCTCCATCGTCTTCCAAACCCACCATGCTCATGATATCTAGGAAGCTTCCTTTACTTGGAAACATTGGGGTGTAATCCTTATCTTTCCTTTGTGGACGTTTTAGTGAAGCTTCCACTCCAGCGTTCCATCTCAGAACATTAGGCACCAAGTTTCCTTCCCGTACGTGTTTCATCAGCTTCTCTTTCCAATCCCACCTCCCTTGTTTGTGAAACCCGATCAAGAGTGAACTAATTGTAACCAAATCCACAGTGAAACCTCTAGTTTCCATCTCCTCTACCAATTTCACTGCTTCCTCTAGCTTCCCTTCCCTGCAAAGCTGCAACACAACAATGCTAAACGTAATGGCATCGACAAACTGGCCCTTCTTCTTCAAGTCACAGAACAGAGTAAACCCAGCCTCAGCTCTTCCGTTCCTAAATAACCCATCAATTAAAATGTTGTATGTCCAGCAGGAAGCTCTAACTCCTTCTTGAACCATCTTCTCAAACAACTGACAAGCCTCAGTAACTTTTCTTGCCTTGAGTGTCCCATCTAAAAGACAATTATACACAACCGTATCAGGGACAAACCCGTTATACTGCATCTCACCGAAAATCCTCATTGCATCATCCATCCGGTAAGATTTACAACATCCTTGAATCAGTATCCGATAAGTCGAATTATCAGGCTCATGACCAGACACTTTCAGTTCGTCCCATACAATCAAAGCATCTTTAGCTTTTCCAAATAAACACAACACATGAATCAGGCTATTATATGTGCATATATCAGGAGCAAAAGAAGACCCAGAGACCGAACTTCGCTCCTTCATCTCCTTGAACAAACTCAATGCAGCATCCAAATCTCCCCAACAACCAAATCCATGTATACATATGTTATAACTCCAAGTATCAAACTTGAATCGATTCATTCCCTTTAACTTTTCAAAAACCGTTTTGAACTCCGACCTCATATCTGCTCTTCTTAGACCAACCAAGAGCTCATTAACAGCAACCCTTCCAGGAAGATAACTTACAGTAACCCCACTAGTATCATCACCATGGTTATCAGAAGCTTCTAAAAGCTTAAAGAAAATGGATAAAGCAAGACGCAATTCGTTTTTCTTCGCCAGAGCAATAAGAACAGAATCATATAAACTAGGGTTTAAGCAATCTCCTAATTCCTCCATGTAATCCAAAACTCCCAACGCTGATTCGAACTTACCCGAACGGATTAGAGAATCTAACAGTATCTTCGCCATCGTCTGGTCCAAGTTAACGCCATCTTCCTTCATTGAACAAAGCAAATCGGGAACTTCTCCGAGAAGCCCTGTCCGGCAAACAGTGCGAAATATCTGAGAGTAAGCTGATACTGAATGTTTGTATCCAGTACGGAGAGAATAACACCATCGGAAGAAATCTAGCTTCTTCGATGGATCTATGGAGTTTCTACGAAGGATCTGGAGAACCACAGGTTCCGAAATCGGGATCGAATTCGCGTCGAGGCCCCGTGTACCGGACTGAGACAAGGTCTTGGACAAAGAAGCGACGAGAAGGACATTACAAAGCTGAGGAAAAGGTGAATTAGTCGCCGGAGATAGACCGGAAATTGCAGCTGATACGGCGCTTCCTCTTCCATGGCGCATCGCATAGTGACCACTGAGAAACGAAATTGAAAGCCCACATTGACACGACGTCGTTTACCGTATAAAGTTTCTTCGAGGCCCAGGCTTTTGCCCGTTAATAGATTGATACGGCGTCGTTTATTAAATATATATAGATGGGCCCATGAATAAGCCCATTTTATAGGGATTTTAATTTTTGAGTCGATCGATAAACCCTAAGTTCTCTCTCCGTCGTCTTCATTCTCAGCTTTGCCGTTTTCATCGATTAACGAGAGAGAAGCTTCGTTCGCCGTCGTCGTAAAAATGGGTTTCAAGAGGAAGAAGGGCGATGGTGACGGTGAGGAAATGGAATCAGAAGGTCGTGGAAAGTCTAGTTTCAATGGAACTGAGAAGAGGAGTGTGATACTTCCTTCGATGATTAAGAACAAGGATAAGAGATCTAAAGTGTATGCTAAGCAAAAGCATGAGAAGAAAGTGGAGAAGCAGAAGAAGATTAGAGCTCGTGACGCTGCTGAGAAACGAGCTCTAGAGCTTGGTGAAGAGGTACAAGATCTGGAGAAGTTTTTTTTTTAGCGATTTTTGGGGTTTTTGAATTTGAGATCTTAATTTTGGTTTGTTCTTCTTCGTTTGTAGCCTCCACAAAAGATGATTCCGAAGACGATTGAGAATACCAGAGAAGCTGATGAAACTGTTTGCCGACCTGACGATGAAGAAGTATGTTTAAATCTGATGTTTGTTTCATCTCAATATTTGAATTCAATTCATTGTCTTGTTGCTAATTTAGCGGAATCAAATTTGCAGTTGTTTGCTGATATTGATGCTGATGAGTTTAATCCAGTGCTGAGACGTGAGATTACTCCTAAGATCTTGATCACAACATGTCGTTTCAATTCCACTGTAAGTCTTTTTTTTTTTTTGTACATAAGTTACAAAATCGGTGAAATCTACATGTTTGTTGTGGTTTTTGATTCAAGTAATGTTGTTGGATTTGCAGAGAGGACCTGCGTTTATATCTGAGTTGCTTTCGGTGATACCAAACTCTCATTATCAAAAAAGAGGAACTTATGATTTGAAAAAGGTGTTGCTATTAGTATCAGAGGATACTTGTTTTCTTATAAAGTTAGTCTCTTTTTGTAACTATATAACCTTTTAGATGTTGTTCTGCAGATTGTAGAATACGCAACGAAGAAAGATTTTACATCTCTTATTGTAGTTCATACGAATCGCAGAGAACCTGGTTAGTTTTCACTTCTGAGTTTCAAGTTTCTTTGTCCTGTGATATTATCTTTATATGGTTTGTTTTAAGCTTTTGTTGTTTCATATGTAGACGCCCTTCTTATCATCGGTTTGCCAACTGGTCCTACTGCTCATTTCAAATTGTCAAATCTTGTTTTAAGGAAGGATATTAAGGTATGTGAGCACAACATTACTCTTCTCTACATCGAGTGTATATTAGTGATCACTGAATTGGATGTTGAATATAACTGCAGAATCATGGAAATCCTACAAGCCATCAACCGGAATTGGTTTTGAATAACTTTACAACGCGTTTAGGGAATCGTGTTGGGAGGTATGGTTTGCATAGTGTTGACATCTTTTTATGGTCTCTTTGGTTTCTTGCTTATGTTAGATTTTTCTTGTTTCGCAGGTTTTTTCAATCACTCTTCCCTCCGGATCCTAATTTCCGTGGTAGGAGAGTTGTGACATTCCACAACCAGCGTGACTTTATATTTTTCAGACATCACCGGTAAATAATTTCACCTTTTCTTCTTCAAGTTGCTTTTTGTTCCATTGAAACTTTTATTGAACAAATTCAATACTATTCAGTTACATATTTGAGACGAAGGAAAGCAAACAGAGTGATAAAGGAAAAGATGGTGTTCAAGAGACAATAAAACCTCGTCTTCAGGTCAATTTTATCCATGTTTAATCCAAAATTACTCTTGTTTGTGTAAACCAATCAACATTATCAATATTTGTATCATTAAACCTAAGATTTTACGTGTAGGAATGTGGTCCTCGATTCACGCTTAAGCTAGTTACTTTACAGCATGGAACCTTTGACACCAAAGGCGGAGAATTTGAATGGGTTCATAAGGTAAAAATCATCAGAAGTTACATTACAAGCTTCATTACTGTTCTTTAGAGTTTGATTGATTGGATGATTACTAATTTGTTCTCTGATGTTATTTTGTGTTTCATTACAGCCTGAAATGGACACGAGCAGGAGAAGGTTCTTCTTATAAATTCTGCTGTCTTTCGAGTTTCACAAAGTTTTGTGTTTATTTTTCATTTTCGGATTTTCCTGATCTCCGACCAAAATTGTATGTCTTTAAAACTTCACATTTCTTTTCAATATAGCCATGAGCCATCGAAACAATCGCAGGTGGACTTGTTTCAACAATATAGGTCCTTTTTTATTTTTTAAAAGCTTAATTTAAGCTATATAGTTGGTTAGCTATGATTGTTTGGTATATGGAGTATGGACCAAGAATTACTAATTTTCACTTTTTAATAGCATTTGGAAAGTACAACAGTAATATTCGATGATGACAAAAAAAAAAAAAAAAAACAGTAATATTCGATTTTGTTTAGTAATTAAGTGAACCTTTATGATGCATAATTAATAGTTTTACAACAGTTTTTGTTAATTATTGGAAAAATTACATTTTTAACCTTCAAAGTTAGCACTTTAAACTTCGAGAGAATTCCACTAACACTATAAACCACAAAGATAATTTTACTAACACTTCAAACCTCCAAACTAGTTTTTTTTTTGCACCGCCAATAAAAATGATGGAATTATATAATTTAATTTAAACTAATTTTATTATTTATTACAATTAAGAAAAATCTTTAAAAACAAAAAAAAAATTCATTTTTCTCTATCACTCACCGTCCGACTATGAAATTTTATGATAAACTTCTGAAACTAGAAACTAAAGCACAAGAAAAACTTAAATAGAATAATATAAACTAAATATATACTAATATAGAATTTGAGGTACGAGAGAAGCTTAAAATAGAGTAAAAAAACCAAAGAATGTCAAATTTTAATCAGAAAACGAAGTATTCTCCGTATCGGAAGAATCCATTGGGAGATTGATCCAAAAACGTTTTTACTCTCTCGAGTAGATAAATTGGGATCTCATAATACTAATTGCAATAAACAGATGGTGAAAACATATAATAAACTGAATAAAAATCTGAAAATTTTGTGGTCTGATGGTGAGTAGTCGAAGATGATGAAGTTTTTTTTTTAATTTTTTTTTAATTTTTTAAATTGTAAAATTGTTATAAATAGTAAAATTAATTAAAAAACTAAATAAATTAATATTACACAAACATAAATTAATTTTTTATTATTTTTTATGGCTGTACAAACATAAAAACTAGTTTAGAAGTTTAAAGTGTTAGTAAAATTATTTTACTGATTTATAATGTTAGTAAAATATTTTTGAGGTTTAAAGTGTTAGTTAGCAACATTTTGAATGTTAAAAATGTGATTTTCTCGTTAGTTATGTACTGTATTGCAGAAAGTAGTTACGTATTTATGGTGTCGTCAATATTGTCGGCTATTATATTCCCGAAATAAAAAAAGCTGAAACTTAGGTTCGAAGTTCACAATTAAAATACTGCCACGTGTTACTTTATTCACAATTAAAATAGATTTTTGTCCCCCTCATTTGTGAACGTTTTAGTGATTAACATTAAATATTAATATCTCTTTTTTTTTTTTGTTGTTTCTTCTTCATCACCTCTATTAGTACTGTTGGTCTTTCAAAAAACAAAAACAGAGGTAGAGAGGAAAAAAGAAAAGAAACAGGGAGAAAAATAAGCCCTTGACTCAAACACTAGAGAATTTGAGTCGCGATTTAGAAAGGTTTGTTCTTTGATCTGTTTTTTTTGTGAAAAAATGGTGAAAGATCTGGTAGGGTATAGATTTTATCCGACTGGAGAGGAATTGATAAACCATTACCTAAAGAACAAAATTCTGGGTAAGACTTGGCTCGTCGACGAAGCCATTAGCGAGATCAACATCTGTAGTTACGACCCTATTTACTTGCCTTGTAAGTTATCTCACTTCAAAATCATCATCTTTCTCTCATCATCGATTTTTATTACTAATTTTGGGTGTTGGTGTGTGTGTCTTTTGGCAGCGTTATCTAAGATCAAATCGGATGATCCGGTTTGGTACTTCTTCTGTCCAAAGGAGTACACTTCTGCGAAGAAGAAGGTAACGAAGAGGACTACAAGTTCTGGGTATTGGAAAGCTACTGGTGTTGATCGTAAAATCAAAGATAAGAGAGGTAATCGAGGCGAGATCGGGATTAAGAAGACGCTTGTGTATTATGAAGGTAGAGTTCCTAAAGGTGTTTGGACTCCTTGGGTTATGCATGAGTATCACATCACTTGTTTGCCTCAAGATCAGGTAATTGAATTTGAGCTTCTCAAGTAGTTGACTTAGTCTTATGTTTCTGCTAATCTAATTCTTGATCTTTTTGAAATGATTTTGGGTTTGTTTCATCTATCTCTGATCTACTTGTTGACTGTATAATTTGCCCTGTGTTGGATACTATCTTTAGTACAATTTGAGGTTAAAGTCATGTTCTTGTATAAATGGATTTGCTTTTCCCCGTGATGCTACATCTAGCTCAGGTTTAGGTTCTGTGTTGTCTCAGAGTTTTAAGTGCTATATATAGAAGTTGTGGCCTAGTGTATTTGCTTCTGTCAAAGCTTGTGATTGAGTTGTTTGAGTTATGTGTGTTTGATTTTTTGTTTTGCCGGCAAAGAACTTATGTGTCTGTACTTTTGGAATTTGTTCAGAGGAACTATGTTATCTGCCAAGTAATGTATAAGGGTGAAGATGGAGACGTCCCATCTGGTGGTAATAACTCGAGTGAGCCGAGTCAATCTATGGTCTCTGATTCGAATACTGTCAGAGAGACGATTACCACAGCGCCTGAAGTGAGTCCACTTTCTCTATTCGATAATCTCAAGTACTTGATTCTTTTACTCACACTCTCTATTAAATTTTGAGTTTGAGCAGCCAGGTCAAGAAAATTTCTTTGGTATGTCTGTGGATGATTTGAGAACTCCAATGAATGAGCAAAAACAAGAAGATTTCTCTCTGTGGGATGTATTGGATCCAGACATGTTATTCAGTGATAACAACAATTCTACTGTGCAGCCACAAGCTCCTCACTTAGCCCCGAATGATGATGAGTTTCTCGGTGGATTGAGGCATGTTAACCGAGAGCAGGTTGAATATTTGTTTGCCAATGAAGATTTCATATCCAGACCAACCTTATCTGTGACAGAGAACCGCAACGATCACAGGCCAAAGAAAGCTTTGTCAGGGATTATTGTTGATTATAGCAGTGATAGTAATAGTGATGCTGAATCGATATCTGCAACGGTAAAGCACATCACCCGTTTTCTGTATCGTTACTTTCATGGAGTAATATGTATTCTCACATTTTCATTTTTAATATGACAGAGTTACCAAGGAACATCAAGTCCAGGTGATGATAGTGTAGGTAGTTCAAATAGACACTTTCTGATCCATACTGGTGGAAATGAGATTCTATCG